AGCCTTGAGTATATATACAATTTTAATTAACACGATGAGCATATTTGGGGGCGTGGTTTATGACAAACATCACAAAAAACTGTCAAAATCCGATTCCAACGAGAGGCTCTGTTTGCAACATCAAGCACTGCAATTAAGATCGGTTCTTAGACAAAGAAATTTAGCTTATGAGTGTGCTTTGTTTCGTAAAAAAAAGATGTTAACTTAAATAAAGATAACAAAGAAAAACGCATGAGACAATGAATTTGAGGAATGTAAAATTGGTTGAATGATTCATGACATTGCTACAATTTGTGTGATTGATTTGTACATTAGTTTATTTAATCATTTTATTTGAAGCTTCGCGATATTCGAAATTCGCGGCAATTTGTGCCATGAAAGGAATTCATATTTGTGTAATTTATAAGGCAACTGTGGTGCATATTTCAGTTCTAATTTTGGTGACACAATGAAGCGTGATTAGTTGCGATTAATTAAGCAAATCTAATCATCGGAAATTACCACGTTCATTTCAAAACAATTTTTTTAAAAAACCAGCCAGCAAAGCTAAACGTTCAGGAAGAATGGATGCAAGCAGCAATTTAATTTGGGTAGAATACGGTAGGAATTCGTGAGAAAAATCACAAACTACACTCCTGAAAATGCTACAATGGAAGCATAGGTTTCACATTTTCCTTAATGAAATTGTGATGGCAAAAATTACATATTGTAATTTTAAACATAAATAAAAACAAACCAAATGGGATTAATTCGAAGTTATCCCCGTCCAGAGCAAAATATTCATAATCCACATCACGCTAGTTGTTGCGTATATTTATAATCAAAATACTCATAATGGAAAATTCCAGAAAAAAATCTGCTATGGAAAATTCCTGAAAGTATCTACTGTGGGGAACTCCAGAAAATATTTACATCCCTCCAGAAGTATCGAATATTCGTCCTACAAGTTTTGCTCTCATTCAAATTCTCCGTGAGTAAAAAACCTGATCACCAGTTTTTAGCTCGCTGGTGAAAAATCTTTTTTCGATTTTATTGTTTTTTCTTCGAGCTGACATCTCGCATTCATTACTATCAATTGCTGTTAATTCCCGATAATCCAGATGATGTATATGGCATACGTGTTTTTGACATACTATAGGTGTTGTGCGCATGTGTGATGTGTGTGTGTACGTGTACGTTACTAGCGTGTATGCGACATACATATGCGGCGTGTTTGAGACTTGCGCATAAATGACATGCATGTGGTGTGTTCGTGAAAGTAAGTATAATTGCGCATGAGACATAGGTTAGAATACACGTCACTCGGACATACGTCACGTGCGCGTCACACAAACGTATATTCAATACACGCATCATGTACGTGATTCACATGCACGCACACGTATGCCACTTACAAGTACCCACACGAGCACCACTCACAAGTGCGTCAAATACAAGTACGTCACGTACATGTGGACCACACGCACACCACGTACGTTCGTTCAACGTCACAAACACTTGAGTTAAATACAGATACGTCATATATTTAACATGCACGTCAGCGCAGTGCACCATACATGCATGTGACATACACGTGTGCGAGGCGCA